GGTGGGGGTTTGGCCTCCGGAAGTCTAGCCTCAGTAGGCAGTGGTCTGACCACGACAGGGGTATGATCTCATTACCCCTCAGGAAAACATACTTAATGAATCATTTCCCACAGAAAAGAAAACACCAGGAGCCACAAAGATGTTCCTAACTGGAAGCCCCCTGTTCAATTCTGGAGCTGACCGGAAGTTCAATTTCCCCCACCATAGAGTCTCCTCCTAGCACGGCATACTTTTTCCTCTACCTGTCATAACCAAAAGCCCTATCAATTGTGGAGACAACTGGAAAACCCTCCCCTTGCCATAGAGTCTTCTCCTGGCGCACTGTGCTTCTCTCACCACCACCCCGGAAGCTTCTCTCAAAATTGTGGCGCCAACCGGTGACAGAGCCGCAGCAGAGGAAGGAAAGAGTCACATGCGGCTCCAGAGCAATTTGCAATTTGCTGACCCCTGGTTTATGGGATATAGATATTGGCTCTCTAGAACAGAACAGAACAGCCAAGTATTATTAGAAACACAAGGAATTTGTCTAGTACAGAAGCTCTCAGTGTACTTGCAAAACAACAGAGTAATAATAATCATAATAATACCAGTAAGAGGGGGTAATTAAGAAGAGAAGAAGGATAATAATAATACCATAGCCATACAACATGGATAAATATATTTAGACAAAAGAAAGGGTTGTGAGAATTAGGTGTTCAGCAAAGTGATGTCATGAGGGAAAAAACTGTCCCTGTGTCTAGTTGTTTTGGCATGCAATGCCCTACAGTGCGGTCTGGAGTGGAGGAGTCAAAACAGTTCATGTCCAGGATGTGAGAAGTCTGTAGTTATTTTCTCAGCCCTCCTTCTGACCTGTGCCATATGCAGGTCTTCTGTGGGAGGCAGGCTGGTTGCAATTGTTTTTTTCTAATTATCCATTGGAGTCTGTACCTCTCCTGTTTGGTTGCTGTACCAAGTAAGACAGTTATAGAATTACAAATGATAGACTCAGTAATTCCTCTGCAGAACAGCTCCTGGGGCAGTCTGAAGTTCCTGAGATGACGCAGGAAGAACATTCTTTGTTGCGCCTTTTTAATGATGGTTCTAATGTTAGGTGTCCATTTCAAATCCTGGGAGATTATAGAACCCCAAAACTTGAAGGATTCTACTGCTGATATTGTGCTGTCTAATATAGTAAGAGATGATAGAACAGAGGGGCTCCTCCTAAATTTCACTCTTATCTCTACAGTTTTAAGCATGTTCAGCTCCTGACTGTTCCGGCTGCACCATACAGCCAGTTGTTCAATCCATCTATATGCATACCCTCTCACTATCTCGAATGAGATCAATGACTGTATATAGACAAACTTCAGTACTTTAATAGAGAGATCCCTAGAGATGCAGCCATGAGTATAGAAAGAGAAGAGCAATGCAGAGAGCATACAACTCTATCCAGCAAGAAGTTAATAATCCACCTACAAGTATGGATAGGCACAGCTAACTGAATCAGTTTAGAGTGATGAATTTCTGGAATGATGGTATTGAATGCCAAGCTGAAATCTACAAATGGATAGGTTCCTGGAGATTCAAAATGCTGAAAGAGGTAATGCAGTGCCATACTGAGTTATTTAAAAATTAAGTTATTAAATTATATATTAAGCCCATTTTAAGTTTTAATAACATTATAATTTAATAAGTTTAAATTGAATATTAAGTTTATTATTAAGTTAATATTAAGTTATTTAAAAATATAACTTATTTTTATATATAACTTTATATAACTCACTTCATGGTATGTGTCCTCCAATTCTCCATCATAAATCCAACGATAAAGAAAATTCAGGATGGGATGTGATACAAGGCCAAGAATATGTTGTACCAGGGATTTCATGTAGGGATCACCTGTTTTACTGTAGGCATGAACAGCTGATGCAAGTTCACCTCCTTTTCTTCCTGGAAAAATACAGTGTATAAGGTTTGATTGATGGAGAATCGACAAGAATGATGCATTATAATCTGGAATACCTCCAATACTTCTGTACTAAGCAAATAACTAGGAATGAAATTCTGACCCAACACCAATGGCTAGCACAGAGGTCTTCAAACCTGGCAACTTTAAGACTTATGGATTTCAACTCCCAGAATTCTCCAGCCAGCTATGCTGGAATTCTGGGAGTTGAAGTCCACAAGTCTTAAAGTTGTCAAGTTTGGGGACTCTTGGGCTAGAGGATGAAGCCACTGTTTCTTTACCTCCTGGTGCTATTAGATTCTTTTCTGTAGCTGATTGGAACTTGGCAGAAGGCACTCAATGCAGCACAACCAGGTAAGAATTTTTCCTGAAGCCATTTAAGCAATTGATTGCCCTTTGCAAAGATGAGGGCAAACTTCCTTCTTAAACCTTTTGCATTATAAATCCAGCCTGCTTTCCCCACACCATTTTCACAACCTAATGGCCTGCTCTATGTAACTCACACAATTATTGAACTAATTATTGCTGGGAAATTCCAGTTCCCAATGTTCACAGTTATTCTCTCCATCAGCCGTACCCTTTCATTCCATGTCCATGGAAAGATCAAGCATATCCAGAGCAACAGGAAAAGGAAGAATATCCCACTCTAACCCCTCTCATATTGAGAGTGGCAGGTATGAGCACACCCACCCCTCTCAATTTTCATAGCAGAATATTCCTCTTCAACCGAAGATGATGGGGCAGCTGCATTTTCAGAATTCTCCCTGTCACCTTCTGCAGTCTGCTGCAATCCAGGGGAAGGTGAATCACGGAGACAATCAAGGTATCTCTGCAACTCAATCACTGAACAAGTAAGAAAGATGCCTTAACAGAAATATGAAGAAGCTTTATTAAGGCAAAATAGGACAAAGTAACCTAAGCTACTGTGGCACAGTGATTAGAGTGCAGGCTTCTTCTGCTGACTGCCAGCTGACTGCAATTTGGCAGTTCAAATCTCACCACCTTCCATCCTTCTGAGGTGGGTAAAATGAGTCCCTAAATTGTTGGGAGCAATATGCTGATGCTGTAAACCAGGGCTGTAAAGCACTGTAAAGCAGTATATAAGTCAAAGCGCTATTGCTCTTTGGAAGTGGTTGAGGCAGAGGCTTCCTGGTTCAATGGAATATAAGAAATGGAGAAGACACAACACAATCAGATTTGTAAGATTTTGTTATTTTTGCCAATCTCAATGAAAAAAAAAGGTTTTAGCCTTCCTTTGGAGTTGATTTCTTTGTTTCTCAACCTAGCGGGACAAGAGTCATCAATACCAGGTATTCCTTGTCTCCAGAATTTGAGACTTTAGCAGAGGGCTTTTCATGTGGCCAGTTAGTGTTTCACTGGAAACAGTAAAAGACAAGGTGTAATGGTTGTCAGGCAGGTACCCATACAAGAGACTGTTACCTAAGCAAGTCAAACCTACAGAACATCCACATACAAACACACCAATATTTTAAGAAGTTTAGTCTCCTTGTAATTATGCCTGTGGGCTCAAAGAAAAAGGATCAGCATGAGTGATTCAGTTTTTTTAAGATGAATGTCTAAGAGAATTAGTGAAAGATACAGCCTGGAGGACAAAAGGAAAAGGGGGACATTACTGAAATCTTTAAATACATTAAGAGTGTGGATAAGGTTCTGGAAGCAGTATATTGAATATTAAGCAAAAATCAAGAAAAAGGGGGCATAATGTCAAACTGACAGGAGGTAAGTTCAAAAGTAATGTTAGAAAATATTACTTCACAGAAAGTAATGGAAGCTTAGAACTAGTTTCCTGTGAGGCAATGAGTCAATCACCTGTAACTGAGTTTAAACTGGATAACACATGTCTATCATCAAACAAAAATTTAAAAATTTAAAAAAATTAAAACGTTCAAAGGGCAAACTCAATGGACCACTAGGTCTTTTTCTACCCTCAATTTTTTGTGTCTGTTTCTATACAAGGGACATAAGAAGTTCAGTACGTGACTGTCTGGATCAGACTGCTTTTGGGAAGTGTCACAGATTAGGAATGATCACTGAAGAAAAGGGAAAGTATAGTGAATGATGATAGCATAAAATACATTTTGCTCTATTTCCCTTTGTTTATTTCACGCCCTTCATTTTGATTACTATTCCTTACTCCCTTTCTGCCTTCCATACAATGTTGCTTACCCCAAAAGCAATAGTGTGATGTGTATGTACAGTGTTTTCCCGAAAATACAACATGTCGTGATAATAAGACCGTGCCACATTTTTCGGGTGGGCAAAAATAAGCCCTCTGGACACTCCCTTCCAGCCAGGCAGAGCGCCATTCACTGACCTAGCGGTATCCCGAAGGTACCAAGCGCAGGAACGGGGTGGGGGGGCAAAGGCTCGCATTGCTTGGCGCCTTCGGGTTACTGCTAGGTCAGTGAGCAGTGTTATGCCCAACTGGAGAGGGGGGGTTGCCGGGCAGTTGCTCTCTTGCGAGCGGGCTCCCGAAGAGCTGGGCACAGCCTCAGGGTCGAATGGCTGTGTTGCGCTGTCGCAGCAGCTCTACACAGCAGCCATGAGGTGACAACGCTCACGAGCAGCTGCCCGGCAACCCCCCCTCTCCAGTTGGGCATAACACTGCTCACTGACCTAGCAGTAACCCGAAGGCGCCAAGCAATGCGAGC